AAAGGACAGGCTAAAAGACTGACTGAAATATTCACCCCTGCACAATTCAGACTATTTGTTTTATTCTTGTTTTCGTTTTCAGCTCTGCAAACCTATCGGACTCTTCTTCTTAGACAAAGCAAAGCAGCTGCGGCCTATTGCTATTCAGTTATTCCAGGAACCAGGCCCTGATAATCCAGTAAGTAATGTTGTTTTGTTATTTGCTAGCTAGTAAGTATGTGCAATTGAACCCCCTTAAGACTGCATACTGAGCATCGGCGACTGGGTCGCCCAATGGCTTGTCGGTAGACGACTTCGTCTCCGGTCGGGAGAGTATTTCGGTCTGTCTCCTTTGATGATATCAACACTACAAGAGTTCTTTTCAGGGCTACTTGATGACGAGCAATGCTAAGCGATTTTATGTGGCGCACATAATCTAGTCACAATTATAACCTTAAGCATCACGTTGACCCCATTTACTTCTCAGGGATTTACTTGTCACCACTTTAAGGCTGGGTCAAACTGGACGCCAGTGTCAACCTTTGAAAGTCCGGTCCCGGGACCTTCAGATCCGCAGGTAAGCGTTTCGCCGCTACACGACGGTAGCTCCTCATATCTCTGTCATGCTAACCGTTTTACGTCTGGATGTGTAAAGTAAATATTGTTTATCTGTTACTGCTGATTTTTAGTATTAGTTATTTCCCATGGTCTCTGGGTAGTGAGATCGGACGCCCGTGTGCATTGTTGCGCACGTAAAAAATCTCTTGGCAGTTGGAAATCGAAAAGAGTAGCCTAACGGCGCTGCCCAGGCCACATTTGGAGTTTAAAATCTACCCAATGTATTTCGGGAACCTCGCCGGTGCTACAGAGCATGTGCACTGTGCTGAGCTTCTTAGGACTCAGACTTGAGTTAGAAGAAGAACGGAGCTCTTAAGGGTTACTACCCGTGTGTCATGATGTTGATCCGTTGTTCAAGCCGCAAACCTCAGTATTGGTTATATAAGCGGGAGAAGGGGGAAGGGGCGCTCTTTCGCGCCTTTAGATGTACTGTACATACATTGCTAGAGCTATTATGTATCATTAAATCTGAAATACGTTCAATTCAACCATCTAGCTTCTAATCGTTCATTTTATAAACTGTCAAAAGTGCGCGTGTAATCTAAAAATAAATACACACAGTGGAACTCCAGTATTCGTCCACATAAATATTAAACTTTTTAGATCGGGAACGGATTAATGAGAAATAATGGAGTTCCATTGCATTCCTAATTTTCACATGTTTGTCACTCTGAATTCTTAAGTAAATTGTAGCTTCTCTAGTTCCGCTGTTTTTATATATGCTCTTCAGAAACGTTATCTTTTTAGATATTTTAGTTTTATGGCTCGTCAACCTAATAGTTAAACAATTGTATGCAAGAGTCATCACCCTTGCCCTGTTGTGCCATTATAAGTCACATATGGTTAGTTATCTATTCCTCTATTCCGTTCTATCATGAGTAATTGTTTTTCTATACTATGGATGCAATTCAGTCTAGCACTTCCGGTCTCATTTCCCGTGTGGGCCCTATTATAGTGAAAACAAGAATAGACCCACTGCCTGCTCAAAAGCATGTCGTAGAAGTCGACTAATTGGCAGCTTCCTTCAAAGTCGGAGTGCATCTGCCTAAGAGGCAAGGAACCAGTAGTCTACATACAAATAAGTCAGATCTGTAAAATGGATGCACACGCAACACTCAGGTTCTGAAACAGGACTACAGTCCATAAGTGGATGAACAACCAGAACTTTCCGCCAGTTTATAGCTGGTGAAAGCAAAGAAGAAGTCTCTCTCGTGAGTTTATGGTGTGTGTGTGTGTGTGTGTGTGTGTTTGCGTTCTCGTTACCCAAATCCATTTATTTCTCATTTCAGTGCCTGTTTGGGGATTCTCTACTCGTTTCCAATACAGTGCCATCCTCCTTGGCTTTTCACTGTTGTTACCAGTGATCTGGAAATTTCTCTCATTTCTACCCTCCCTTTAAATCCATCCCATGTTACGTTGAACATAAATAATTGCAAGAATACAGTTATAAAATTTTGCCATGTTTATTTAAAAAAAAAAATCTTTTTTTTTTTTACAAAATGCGAATCTATCTTCTGCAGATTTTCACTCCTCTCAGCCCATCGCTGACATGGGCCTTGGTTAAAATGTGGTACAACAATGCAGACGCTGCTTACCACCAGGCGTTAACACATCTTGGTAAACTTCTTTTAGTTTACTTGAAAAATAAATATAAAACATAAATATGCAATTTTAAATTCTCCCAGTGGGACATGGGTGCCAGTAGTGGCAAGGGAAGTCAAGACTTTACTCTCCAAAATATTTTCTTCTTCTATCCTTCATCCACTAATGGAGCATAGGTCCTCAGCCAGCTCACGCCAAGTCGTCAAATACAATCGCATGAAGCTCACCCCGTGTCCTTCCCATCTTTTTCATTTATACCTCTAGTTTCCTATCCAATGATTGCCTGAAAATGGCTAATGAAAGTAGAACATTATATGCAACAATGAGAAGGAAACAAAGTACTTTGGTCATGTGATGAGAAGATGAGCACTGGAAAATATCGTGACGACTGAAAAGATCACTGGCAGAAGAAGCAGACCAAGAGAAATGATGGTGGATGGCTAAAGGCAGAGGCTTAGAGGAAAATCGTCAGCAGAATTGATCCAGAACACCAAAGACCGAGATGTGTGGAGATGCATGAACGCCTACGCCAGCTGGCAAGGCACTTGAATGATGAGTTTCCTTCTCTCTCTCTCTCTCTCTCTCTCTCTCTCTCTCTCTCTCTCTCTCTCTCTCTTTCTCTCTCTCTCTCTCTCTCTCTCTCTTTCGTTCTCTCTCTCTCTTTCTTTCTTTCTCTCTCCGTATGTGTGTGTGTGGTTTTTTTAAAAATATGTATGTCTTTACTCGATGACCCTGTGGGTTCCGGTGTAAATACATTCTAGCTATATTTTTATCATGTTTTCCTTCAGAGTTTACAACAGGTTAACACTACGAAAAGTTGAAAACTATGCAATCATGGATTTAATTTCACACACATCTGATAGTATAAAACTCTTTGCAGTATAACCAACGTCTTATCGTATTAAATACGCTATGTACGCTTAGACATTACACAATGTATCTTGTTCAACCCCAGGCATGACACACCTGCTCATGGAAGGAGTCACAGTGGCTACACACAGAAACATTTCCCAGTCTCATCCAATATTCAAACTTCTGGCACCTCATTTCCTTTACCTCATCGCCATCAATTCGTAAGTATTATTTATATTTCATGATTTTCCCACTGGTGTGTACTCTTCCGGGGTCCCTTTGCGAGGGAAACAAGAATAGACCCTCTGCCTCCCCAACAATCATGACGTAGGAGCCATGACACATAGCCAGAATCAAAACAAACGACCAGTCGGGGACTTTCCACCGGAGCTTACTCTCGGTTATCATCCACATCAATCAGCAAATCCCTTACAGAACGTCGCTCTCTTCACGGCACGACTGAAAGTATCCCTTTCCCTAGCCAGCTCCCCCGGCCCCATGTGCTTTCAATGCCAATGCATCTTTAATGTCCTGTATCAATTTCGCCGTGTTCGACCCCTGCCTCGCCTTCCACATTGTGTACCCTCCATCGCCGTCTTTTTCAAGCCACTAGGACGTTTGATGTGGCCAAAATACTTCAACTTTCGGGACAGCATGCTGTTTATGAGTCAGTTCTCCTCGATGTTCAACTCTTTTAGAATGTCGATGTTTTCATTAAGCACCACTATACCCAGAGTAGAGAATACGAATATTGTTTGGGGTTTGAAAATCAGTTTTCATTATTTAGAGATTGACGTAGATAAGATAAGGAATGAGACCATAAGAGAAAAAGTCGGTACAGAACCAATTCTAAATTACATACAAAGACAGCAAGTGAAATGGTTTGCCCACTTAGAGAGAATGCCTTGTGACACCATACCATACAAAGCATACATGGAAAGAGAAGAAGGACGTAAAGCACGAGGTAGACCAAGAACAACATGGAAGGATAACATCAGAGAAACTCTACAACAGCACGATGTGCCAAAGATCGAGGCAGCCAGAAGAGCTAGAAACAGAACCTTATATCTCCCTCGATACCCACAGTGGTACAAGAGGAAGTGAAGAAGAAGAAGAAGAAGAAGAAGAAGAAGAAGAAGAAGAAGAAGAAGAAGAAGAAGAAGAAGAAGAAGAAGAAGAAGAAGAAGAAGAAGAAGAAGAAGAAGAAGAAGAAGAAGAAGAAGAAGAAGAAGAAGAAGAGATGGACGTATTTCTGACGCACTGACATGAGTCCTGAAAAGATCTTGCAATTATCCGAATGAGCTGGAATGATCTTTTGCTGAAACCGACATGGTTAAATTAAAATAAAAAATGTGGGGTGGGGACAAGACGGAAGCTGCATGCAGAACAACATTGTGACTTTGCTGACTTAGCATTTGCTCAGCCTAGTACAACACAGTCGTCTACGTAGAGTTTGTGGAGGCGTGGTCTTGAGGTATGGGATCCTCCTCATGTGCTGGAGGTCCTGGGTTCAAACCCAGGTGAGGGCTTGGATTCGTTCACGTTGACTTCTAGTATTTTCCCCTGGCCTCTGGATAATTAGATCGGACGCCCGTGTGTATTGTTGGATCCTCGCCGGTGCAACAGAGTTCGTGCACTGCGCTGAGATTCTCCAGACTCAGGCTTGAGTTAGAAGTAGAACGGAGCACTTATGGGTTTACACCCGTGTGCCATGATGTTGATCTATCGACTAAACTAAATTAAGTTAAACTATGCTTTTTTTCCACACAATAAACGCACGAGAAATAAATAACAAAATTGTATAGATCCTAAGCCATCCTTTTTGTATTTAGACATTGTAAAACCATAAATAAATACTGGAATAAACATAAGTTTTTTTTTTACCCTTTCCACGCCATTAGGCGTATAGGGCATTTGGGGCTAGACCCAAATTTTTAAAGACCAATCGGCACAAGATGGGTGATGTGGTCAGCATAACGCCGGCCGCCTTTACTTCCCGGGACGGCACTTAAGGCTGGGTCGACCTAGGAGCCAAGGTCATTTTTGAAAAAAGTCCGGCTCCTCCAGGGAGCGAACCCACGACCTTCCTATCTGCGGCGAGCGTCTAGCCGCTTGGCCATGGCGACTCCCCAATAAACATTAGGACATGCATCTAAACACTTAATTATCAGTAGGACTGAAAGCGGGAAGACACGAAATCACGTACATTCATTAAAGTATTTAATTATAGTCAGAGATAAACAAATGCATTCATCCTAACACTTAATTTTCAGTTGGAAGAAATTAAATTACACACATTCCAGTACTAAAGTTATTTGTCTTCAGCATTCGGAGCCCTTGAGGTTCATTGCTGTAGATTTCACCCGCCACCATTCATCTTTCTGGTTAGCCTTCTCTTTCCAGTTGGTGACACCAAGTGTTTGCAGGTCTGTCTGGACACTATCTCTCCATCGTCTTCTTTGTCTCCCTCGCGGTGTACGACCATCCATTTCACCTTGTGTATACGGTTATTACTTCTCTGTCATCTGATATTCTTTCAATATGCCCCAGCCATTTCAGTCTATTAGCTATCATGATGTAATGATCAATGGTGATTTAAACAGATCATTAATTTCGTTTTTGCTTCTCACTCTCCATTACCTGCTGTTTGCATCTTTGATTGGTAGGATTAAATCACAGGTAGAAATAAAACAGAAGATTTCATTACAAATACAAATAAACAGAAGTACGTACATTTCAACATTTCACTTTTAGTAATGTATTATAAATAATGTTTTCATTTATTGCATTGCAGACGAGGTCTAGAGCTGTTGGTTTCAGACAACGGATGGGTGGATAAAACAATGAACTTCGGCAATAAAGGGTTATTCGCTCTCATCGTGAAAGGGTAAGCATGGTAAACAATAAATTGTGCTAAAGATAACATAAAATGAGACTAGTCAGATCTACCGAAGTCTTTATCAATGAAGTAATAAATACAACAAACACTGTTACCGGAAAAACCAACCAAGACAGGACAACAGAGCTTCTAAAAACAACAACCAAGGTCTTTTGGCGAAATGTTCGGTTGTATTTCGGCTCGTATTTTTCATTCCCTTCGTTGAGTTTTCTTGTCGCATTTATGCTATATTTATCACGTCTTGTCACCAGCTTCTCTGCAGTTACCCCTATTTACGTCATTACTTCAAAATATAAATTATGTTTTTGTTAATAATGTATTGGAAATCCAAAGATTTTGATAAGCACGATGACTTACTAAAATGACCACTAGGAAATGCCCCCGGAAATACAAGTGACCAGCGTGGTATTGACCACATCACAAACTGAGCGTCGATTGCTTTATGAAAATAGTAGTCTAGTATCGTATGATTAATACACCACTGACAAATAGAGGGTTCTTTATTACTTATGGTAGTCCACGCCAGTCGGCAAGACACTTAATGATGACTCTGCTATAATTATTACTATGATGTTATGTTACTCATTTATTACTTTAACCAACAATATGCCAAACTACTTCTAGCTCAAACAATGATTACCTTTTCTCTTCGAGTAGTATCTCTTGGCAACTGTCACCTCCCACATTTGATTCCTATTGTCTTATGCTTGCAGCTTCAATTCCTGGAGAATGGATGTTGAAGGTACATTACCAGAAGACCTTAAAAATAGAGGGGTATGTAGGAAATGAATGTCGCTTTAGCAAATATCTCATTGTTTATGTGTGAGTGTGTGTGATTGTGTGTGTCTGCATGTAATATTGTGTATGTGCGTATGTGGTGTGTCTGTGTACGAGTGTGGGCTGCATCTGTATGTGCTTGTATATGTGTGTGCCTGTGTATGCTGTCTGTGCACATCGAGTTTGTGTGTTGTATCTATGTGCTGTGTATGGTGATTGTTTGTATTGTGTCTCTGTGAGTACTGAGTCTGTGAGCGTATGCCCTGTGTGTGCTGGGTATGTGTTGTGTCTGTAAGTGTGTGCCCTGTGTGTGCTGTGTATGTGTTGTGTTTGTGTGTGCCCTGTGTGTGTTGTGTATGTGTTGTGTCTGTGTTTTTGTGTGTCTGTGAGTGTGTGTTGTGTGTGCTGTGTATGTGTTGTGTCTGTGAGTGTGTGCCCTGTGTGTTTTGCGTCTCTGTGTATTTTGTGACTTTTTGTGTTTTGTGTCTATGTGTGTTTTGTGTCTCTGTGTATGTTTTATGTTAATATGTATGTATGTAAATTTGTGTGTTTGTGTGTGTGTGTTGTCAATGTGCGTGCACTTTTGCATGTGTTGTAAGTGTGTTTGTATATACTATCTCGATTGTTTTCTGCCTCGTGTGTGTGTCAGCGTTCTGTGTATATTTTTACATTTATATACGAAGGTATGCTTTTGCTATTCATTCTTTTGTATTTAAATTGTACACTCATGCTTTGAATTTTAATATGTGAACATAATATGCCTGCTATATAAATTGTAACTGCTGTATGAAAAATGAGTGCTTGAAAGAGCCGAACGTAAGTTGGGCCTGACTGCCTAACGTGACCCTTCGTATTCAAAGTTTGTCCGTCTGTTCGTTAATTCGTTCTTAGAGTCATCATTGTGTAGCAGGTCCTTTGCAGGAGGTCGCTCTCATCACAGTCTGCCTGAAAGAAACTTGGTCTCTCGCCAGCTCTCCCGCCTCATGTACTTTTATATTCAAGGAGTCACTTATATCCTGTGCCCATCTAAGTGTTGGTCGGAATCCTGGTACTATTAATTTTTTCCGACCCGCTATGGCGCTGATATGACAAAAATATTTCTGCTACCGAGAGCAGAGTAGAATAAATAAACATGTAGTTAACAATGGATGTATCTTATTCTATGTTACAGCTCTTGGATACCAACATCCTGCCCTGCTACCACTTTAGAAACGACGCCTTGCTGTTATATGAAGCTATCAAAAAATATGTAGACTCGTATGTGGATTTATATTACAGTAAGTTGTGAACTATTGTTTTCCAATTACTGTTAGTTAGTTAGTTAGTTAGTTAGTTAGTTAGTTAGTTAGTTAGTTAGTTAGTTAGTTAGTTAGTTAGTTAGTTAGTTAGTTAGTTAGTTAGTTAGTTAGTTAGTGAGTGAGTCAGTCAGTCAGTCGGTCGGTCGGTCGGTCGGTCGGTCGGTCGGTCGGTCGGTCGGTCGGTCGGTCGGTCGGTCGGTCGGTCGGTCGGTCGGTCGGCCGGCCGGCCGGCCGGCCGGCTGGCTGGCTGGTTAGTTAGTTAGCTAGCTAGCTAGCTAGCTAGCTAGGATTTAAGATCCTAAGCTAGCTAGCTAGTTAGTTAGTTAGTTAGTTAGTTAGTTAGTTAGTTAGTTAGTTAGTTAGTTAGTTAGTTAGTTAGTTAGTTGTTGGTTGGTTGGTTCGCTGGCTGGCTGGCTGGCTGGCTGGCTGGCTGGCTGGCTAGCTAGCTAGCTAGTTAGTTAGCTAGCTAGCTAGCTAGCTAGCTAGTTAGTTAGTTAGTTAGTTAGTTAGTTAGTTAGTTAGTTAGTTAGTTAGTTAGTTAGTTAGTTAGTTAGTTAGTTAGTTAGTTAGTTAGATATTCTTTCCTCTTGAGCCTAGGGTCGTGCATTGGGCTGAGGTCATAGCTCTTAGTCTTTCCTCTTGAGATTGTGTAGTGTATAGTGTCATAACTCTCCGTGTCTGGCAGTTCTTTAGGTCTATGGTTGAGCATTCTCTGGTGATGGTTCTATGCAGGGTCTCTCTTAGATTTCCCTGTTTTCTTTTCTCTTCCGGTGTCCATATGAGGGCTTGATGGGGGAGTCTGGTCTTATCCATTCTGAGTGCATGGCCAATGTAGTTCCAGTGGCGGTTTCTTATAAAATGTGGATACACTGTAGTTTATTTTAAACACCAAGGACACAGACTGCACGATTCATTGCCTGGCATGTTTCATGGTATCGTGTTGGGTGCATTGTTGAAGATCTTAAATCCACACATAATGAAGCAAAGAACCTGGATCCCTTTAACTGAAATACTCAAATCTCGTTGTCTCTTGTTACACAGTGCATCTCTTTTGGGGTGCTTTTTGACTGTGCCCAACATGGATTGTGTTGTGAATTATTGATTCTGAAAATGGCGTGTAGCCTGCTGCGACAAACCTGGTGGTGCTTTATGCGAATAATTGTCAATGCAACTTTGAACTACTGATCATCAGTGTTCAACATCTAAGGCAGTGATTCCCAAACTGTGCGCCGCGGCGCCTGGGAGAGCCGCGACCTCTTCACAGGGGCGTCGCGAGATATTGTAAAAGCTTGATAATTAATTTAACCAAGACACAAATAGTCACACTTTTACTGAGATTAGGGCGCCGTGGAAAGGTTTTGATTGAAAAAAAGGCGCCGCGAACAAGACAAGTTTGGGAAACATTGGTCTAAGGTATAAATATTTTTTTCGGTATGCGATGAACTCCATTTCTGGTGTATGACTGTTTGTGTTGGCACTTGTGACGACTGCCTTATGCATTTTAATAGGTGTGTCAATTTTTGCACAAGGGACAGTGATAGATATTCAGTGGGGGTTTTCATTGGCACAGGAAGGGAGCAACTTTAGGGTGACCTGTTTGCTATGAAGCTGGAACTGCAATTGAAACTGATTACACTACATCTCATTGCGGAAGTGTAAGATGCATCACATAATCCTTTTGTTTACATAACACACAGCTGCCTGTGTAAACACAAAATTAAATTACAAATTACAGTGCGGAAATGTATGTTTTAATTTAATTATGTTAGTATTATATTTATTTATGTTTATTTGTGACTACTATATAAGATTTTTGTTTAAAAATAGTAATGAATTTCAAATAACATTTTCAATTTCTAGCACAAAAATTATTGTTTAATTTTTCTTCACATATTTACTTTGTGTTGCTTATAACAGAATTTGTTTAACAGTATTTTTTTGTGTCTTTCTTACATTTAGCCACACCAGAGATGCTTACCCAGGACCACGAAATACAAAACTGGGCGCAGGAACTAGTCAAGCCCAGAAACAAATCCGAGGGTGGTGTTGGAATACTGGTAATCATCTGGAGAAAAAATAATAGATATTTAAAAAACAGTTGTTGAAAGAAACAAATAAAACACTTGAAATATTTCAGTCACAAAAGTCATATATTAGGTTTGTTCCCCTAGAAAAAAAGGTACCGGTACTCACCAGAAATTGTTTAAGAAAGATGCCGGTGTTCATCGCAAACTTTCTATTACTGTTGTGTTGAAGAAGAAAAAACATAATCCGTGAAAAAAAAAAACACACACACATATATATAACGCCAGAAAAAAGCCCTGGTCCTAAATAAACCATACATACATACATACACACACATACATATCTGGTCTGGTCCGGTAGTCTTAGTTTCAGCTTTACAGCAAACGGGTCATCCCATCTTTGCTCCGCTCCTGTGCCAACTAAAAACACACAGAATGTTTATCACATTATTAGAATTGCAGTTCATCATTGACGGTAGCAGAAGTCGCCAACAGATCAGCAGTTGCCCACGCGATCAATTTTAATCACATACGGGCACCACAACACTGCACGACAGGCATCCCGCTTTTTTCTGAATCTACAATTCACACCAACACGTTGGTACACACACACATACACACATGCATGCATACATAAATAGATGCATACATACATAGATACATACCTACCTACCTACCTACCTACTTATCCACACACACACACATACACACACATGTGTATTTAAAGTAATGTACGCACGCACGCACACACACATACACACACATGTGTATTTAAAGTAATGTACGCACGCACGCACACACACACATACACACACATGTGTATCTAAAGTCAAGTACGCAAGCACGCACACACACACATACACACACATGTGTATTTTAAGTCATGTACGCACGCACACACATATGTATTTAAAGTAATGTATTCAACAAAGTTACATTGTGGTTATTCTGAAATTTGAGCATTTGCCATAACATGATTTGTTACTGAAAGATTTAATTTTCAAGTGAATAATTAGCGGGGGTAACATTTAGCTTCTGTCATTTACGACGGACAATTGTATGTACTCAGGTGGACGTGCAGTGTCATCCTTTCTGGTCACCAGCAACCAAATAATCTTTGCAAAAATATCTTTCTGTGTCTTTTTTCTTAATGTATATTTCCCTCTGGGCAGAATTAATTTCTTATTTCAAGAGGAGTAATTTCAAATCTCAACATTTGTTTTCAAATGAAAAATGTAAATGTTTAACACCTAATGTATAAATAGCTTTCTGCACATTTATATTCTGTGCTCTATTTAATTGCTATCTTATGACTATTTAATTTGTTTGGGACACCATCTTAGATTTTAGGGACTGATGTAAGAGTTATTTCACACACACACAAAATAGTATGACCATTTATTTTAACGTTATGCATTTATCATCATCATCACTATTATCATCATTATGTAGCAAGTCCCTTGCAAAACGTCGCTATCATCAAGGTCTGCCTGAAAGAAACTCAGTCTCTCGCCAGCTTCCCCCCCCCCGTGCACTTTTCTACCCAAGGAGTCACTTATATCATTGTCTTTCTTCGTGCTGGTCGGCCCCTACCCCTCTTTCCTGGTACCATGTCTTCCGCTGTTATTCTTTTCCATCTGATGGCACTTGATATGTCCACAGTAATTCAGTTTCCGAATAAGATGCTGTTTACAAGACAGTTTTCCTGGATCTTCAGATCTTTCAGGATGTCAGGGCTTCTTCTATTCTTGGTGCATTATTGTAATCCTTCTATATAATTTATACGTTTTAAAAACTTGTTTAGGGTTCAGTAAAATTATACATATACTGGGGACATTTTTATTATTGAACTGTGGCTCACAACAAGTCCAAGTTAAAATAGGCCCATGAAAATTTAGTGGGTCCGTAAATATGTATCTAACACAACATGCTAATGGTGCGTAAATAGTCCTTCGCATTTATCAGATATAAAAAATAAAAATAAAAAGAGACATGTATCGATTGTCACTCACAGAAAGAAGTAGAAGGATAGAAGGACACTAGAGTTTTAAAATGGAGAGCTATAGAAAGTGAACATATAAGAAACAAGTGTACTAAGATGCATGAACAAAAATCCACTCCTTAAACAAATAGGTGTCTTCGTTGTCCATGTCTGTCGAATGACTTGACCCCCACAACTACGGAATACGGACATAATTCATCTCAAACCATTGAAATGGCACACTAGGTTGCAGAAATTCATATTAACCAAGCATGGGTTGAACACATAGACCATAATACTGTGTTTGGATACAATCAACATTTAAACAAGACATTCTAAGGGTTGGTTCCATTTTGTTGCACGTAATACACTGCACTTATATACCAATTGTCACCATTATTAAGACATCCAAGCATAACTATGAGTGCAAAGAGACAGATTATTAATAGCATATTTATTCCAACATTAAGCTACCAGTGCCAAACATGGACACTATCTAAAGCCCATATACGCAAAATTACCACCTGCGAGATGAGGTGCATGAGAAAGGCAGCCAACCTAACCATCCGAGATCGAATGAATAATGAAACTTTCAGGCAAATTGTGGGAACAACACCTTGTACTAGATTTATCGAGAAACAGCAGATCAAGTGGTTTGGCCATCTCGTTAGAATGCAGCAAGATCAAATACCATCACAAGCACTACATCTCAGAAGATCAACTACAAGAGCAAGAGGACGGCCGCGGAAAACATGGATCGACAACATTAAAGACACTCTACGCCTTCACGGCATGACAATAGCCAGTGGCAGCCAACGTGCACTGGATCGCAAATTATTCCTCCCCACGGCGCTTAACGGCAGAAGTGGTTCATTATGATGATGATGATGATGATGATGATGATGATGAATACACTGGGGCAAAAACAGATTGTGGAACCCTTGAGGTTTTCAAAAAAATATATATGTAATGGATAATTAAATATTTATTGATAGACATTCATGAAAAAGAAGTAGCCTTTAACGATAGAAGACACACTAGACAACATAAATAGCAAAAGCTATAATTACCGTGTCGGGAATAGAACCTGTCATCTCCAAATGATAACAGCACATCTCTGAAACAGGAAGACTATTCATGACACGCTAGCCACCTCAATGTTTTTTTTTTTTTTTCAAATATATCATCACAGGCCATGTCTATCATACAGTTTCAAACTAAAGGTATGGAATGTATGCAGATTTCATTCCAAACTTTTAGAATAGCACCACTGGTGACAGAAATTATAAAAACGTCAGACCAAAATTCTGTACTAAGAATACAATGAACATTCAAAGAGATTTTATTGGCCATCAGCGAGGAAAAAGTGTACCAAGACATGACCAACTAAGCACCTCTTTAAAAAGGTGTCTTCGTTAGACATAATTTTATTTACTAACTACATTTGATTTACTAATTTTGAAGTAATGTGACAGAATGGTAATATGTTTGTTCCTCTCCTCAGGGTGTTCCAGGAAATGGAGAAATCACCACGAAAGCTCAACTATCTCAGATTGTCACCTGTATCATATACACATGTAGCATCTCCCACGCCTCCACAAACTTTCCGCAGTATGAAGAATATGCCTTTCCTCCCAACTATCCTGGCCTGATGCGGGGCAAGCCACCAAATGATGCAGTAAGTCTAGACACATTTTGTAATCATCGTCATAATCAAGTGCTTTGCCCACTGGCGTGGGGGATCATACTTCTCCACATCTTGTGAGCGATTACAGCATATATCAGTTTGTGCATGACAACATTCCATACTATAATTATGTACGGCTTCAACTCATTTGCTACCAAGCAACTCACCATGAGTTTGCTAGTTTAATCTAACATTAAACCAGTCGTGTTTTATGGCTCTGAAACTTGCAGCCCAACTAAAAGAGATGAAGCAGGTTTATGAAAAAGAGAGTCTTACGACGAATCTTTGGACCCATCAAAGATGCAAGCAGCGGTGAATGGAGAGTGGGAAGCAACAACGAAATTCAAAATCTGTTTCAATCACCACTGATCACTGGCATCATGAGAGCTAATAGACTGAAATGGTTGGGGCATATTGAAAGAATGTCAGATGACAGAGAAGTAAAAACTGTATACATAAGGGAGATGAATGATCGCAGACCACGAGGGAGACCAAGTAGACGATGGAGAGATAATATCCAGACAGACCTGCAAACACTTGGTGTTACCAACTGGAAAGATAAGGCTAACCAGAATGGAGATGGGTGATATCTGCAGCAATGAACCTTAAGGGCTCGGAATGCTGAAGAAGAAAAAGAAGAATCTAACATAATATATGTTTCTGAACACTTTGTGACCTCCTCAGTTTTTAGCCTCATCCCCTCAGTCTAAATTTTACTTAACCCCTCCCCCCCCCCCCCTTCTCCCCACTCCATAATTCTACTATTCTGGTTCAGAACTAAATTATAGTAAATCTTTTTATTTTGTACTGAAAGCAATAATAACTGTAAATCTTTTCATTTGGTTTTGAAAGAAATATTATTTCAATCTTGTCACGATCAGAATGCTGCTGTAGCCGAGCGGGACATTCTCAATTGCCTGCCGGACAGACCTACCACCTTAGATATCATGATTGTAACCAAGATCCTCAGTGCCAAGGGCACCAAGAGCATTGGCGACTTTGAAGTCCAGTACGTCTTTGATCCTCAAGCTAGAGAGATTGTTGATGAGTGAGTACAAAGTCCACATGTTTGAAATATATTGCTATTTGTATTAGACCAGTGTTTCTCAAACTTTTCTTAGTCGCGGCGCCTTTTTTCAATTAAATTTGTTCCACGGCGCCCTAACGTAAGTAAAAGTATGACTATTCAATAATTATGAAGGTCAATGATGATTAGTGTTAGCTGCAGTAGCATAGTGGCCAGATGCTCGCCTGCTGGGTAAAAGGTATTGGGTTTGAAACTGCACCTAGAAGATCTGATTTTTTATAAATGCTTTCAGGTGGACCAGACCTCAAATCAGTACCAGATAATGTCCGGAGAGGTAATGATGTCCGACATGTCTCGGACCCCATCACCCACGGAGTGCCAGTTGGTTCATAAAGTATGAATGAGTCCAGCACTGAATTAGTCCGTCAGTGAGTGGATACTGGGTTTGTTCTCTTGCACTGCCCACTTGATCCCAGATAGCCTTCACCACTACAGTTGTATCATAAAGTAGCTTACCACCCAGAGGGTTGGCAGCAGCCGATCCATAAATCTGCTCATTACTCCACACACCCGCATATCCCAGGCAGAAAATTTATGATAAGCTCTTGATCAGTTTTATCAAGCAATGCAAGCCACCCACTCTATGCCTAAGATGCCAGTTTATATTTTCCGATGCATGCTCTCTGATGCGCGCGCACACACACACACACACACACACACACACAGAAAGTGTATAATATTACACAGTACAACCTGTCAACATGGACTCGCTTAAGAAGAATAAACGATTAACAAAAACACTCCTTCGTGTGGGTTCCGGGGTCTTGTAATAGAGAAAACAAGAATAGACCCACTGCCTACCCAAAAGCGTGTCGTAAGAGTTGACTAATTGGGAGCTTTCTTCGAATTCGGAGTGCATCTGCCTGACAGGCACGGAACCAACAGTCTGCATATAATTTAGTCAGATCTGTAAAACGGATGCACATGCAACACTGAAGTTCTGGAACAGAACTGCAGTCCAGAAGTGGATGAACAGCCAGAACTTTCCACCAGAGTTTACAGCTGATGAACGCTAAAAAGAAGAAGAAGAAGAAGAAGAAGAAGAAGAAGAAGAAGAAGAAGAAGAAGAAGAAGAAGAAGAAGAAGAAGAAGAAGAAGAAGAAGATATAAATACAATTTTGCTCCACTGTAAGGATATAATTATTATTATTGGTCCCTAGTTGACACACATTTTCTAACACATACTCGATTTTCCAGTCCCTTGGAAATTGTGTTAACGAAGATTTAACTGTATTAGTGTTTACCAACAAACAGATTAGGGAAGAGGTAGAGGAGGGGGAGAGAGAGAGAGAGAGAGAGAGAGAGAGAGAGAGAGAGAGAGAGAGAGAGAGAGAGAGAGAGAGAGAGAGAGAGAGAGAGAGAGAGAAAATACAGTCATGACTAACCATAACTATTTTCCCAACAGATTCCGCAGAGATCTTCGTAAAATCAGCAAGAAGATCAAAGAAAGAAATCTTCATCGGAATCCACCATATGAGTATTTGGACCCAGAAATTATTCCAAACAGCATAAGCATATAACTTTCACAGCATCAAAATCATCCCACAGTTTCAAAATATGAAGAACAATCCATATGAAATCTACATACAGTATTGGAGTTTGGCAAACCATTCCACACTTCCAAAATGTGTCATGTTTTTTGTGTATGAATGTATATACAGGTTTGTTTTTCTGGCGGTATGCAGTGCTTCATTAATACTGGGGTGCCTGGTTGACCATGTTTCTTAGTGCATTTGTATTCATGGCGAGGCGCAGACGCCGTCTGGAGGTGACAGGTTCAATTCCCGGCACGGTAACTATAGCTTTCGATTTTTATGTTGTCTAGTGTGTTCTTCTATCTTTCTACTTCTTTCTATGAGTGCCGATCAATACACTTTCTGTTACTTGATTAATTCATAATATTTAACGGCCTCAAAGGTCCCCCCTCTGTTTATTCATTAATACTGGCACTTTTTCCTTTAAAGCATTATTGTTTTCAATGCCCCTGTAATAGACACTTTGTGATCAGCACCGAAACCATTTTTTCAAAACTTTGTGTTGAGTACTGACTTCTTTTTCCTATAAAAAAAAAGCCCTGTATATACATATGTGTGGGTACTGGCTGCAGTCCCGGGAAGTAACAAACATCTTGTGACGATTGGTCTATAAAAATATAGGTCTAGCCCTATATGCCTTATACACCTAAAGACGTGGCAAAAGCAATTACTGTTTAAACATTTTGTGTGTGACTAACTCTGATACTTAAAATGACATTCATAGTTTAGAATAATTAATTCTCACTCTGTACATATATTTAATGTAAAATGTTTAGCTTTTTAAATCATTTCCAGTGTTAAATATACATTTTAAGTACAATTTACAATTTGTTTTTGTCAGTTCCAAGTCTACTTAAATTAACAGTAGAACTCAACATTTGAAATCACCAGTTCACAGCACGATAGCTTTCATATGGGCTACAGGCCTCCTGATATAAATTTTCTGACAGAAAGAAGAAGAAACAGACCAGTTCCCACATATTTATCATCATCATATAGCAGGGCCTTTGAAGAACTGTCCACCATCCAGAAATCAAACCCTCCAAGACCAGTTCCCACACATTCATCATCATCATTTAGCAGGTCTTTTGAAGAACTGTCCACCATCCAGAAACCACACCCGCCATTACTGTTTTCTCCAAACTACAATGGCATTTTAACATGGTGAAAATATTGCAATTTTCAAGAAACAATACACTTTCTCTTCGACTTACAACTTATGCGAATTACAACCTATGCAACTTAAAATCATCCACTTTTACGATTATAAATAATAAATTAAAAAAAAAAAACTGTAATAAAGAAAGAAAGATAACTATACTGGTCAGGTCACAAAGTATGAGAGTATTTTTCACATTCATCATCAATCAGCAAGTCCTTTACAGAACGTCGCTCTCTTCACGGCACGCTTGAAAGTATCCCTTTCCCTGGCCAGCTCTCCAGCCCCATGTGCTTTCAATGTTAACGCATCTTAAATGTCTTGTATCCATTTTTGCAGTGGTCGACCCCTGCCTTGCCTTCCATCACCGTCTTTTCCAAGCCACCATGACACTTTTCACATTAGGTACAATAATTATATTTATGTTTACATTCAATTTTTATAACCCTTTTAAATCAAAAAAGTTTTCGATAAATATGAATTCGACTTACAACCTGTTGGTCGGAATGGAACTTGGTCTAAGTCATGGAGATCCTCTACTGTTATGGGCCAGACAACGACCCCCCCCCCCCCTTTCCTCTCCACCTCCCTCTTTCCCACCTCGATATTCAACTTGCCCCACCCCTGAAATTAACCTAAAGTAAAATTAGGGCTTTTCTTCTGGTGGTATGCAACAGTTCACATTGCCAACTCCTCCTTTTCGTTGGCACAATTGTTTTTGCACTAATATAATGGAGACTTTCTGGTTAATACTGGCACCTTTTCAGAGACCCTTTTGTGGTGAGCAACGACATTTTTTGCTCTATAAAAATCCCTGAATAAAATTATTTGTTAGACTGACCAATGTTCCTCAAGGCTAAACAACAGTGTGTTCCTTATATATTATCTCCTTCGAAGTCGGCGTACAGCTGCCCAAGAGGCAAGGAAATGAAAAACGGTTGTACACGCAAAAATCAGGTCCAGGTGAAAGCCAAAAGTCCAAGCGGACGATTAACCGGGACCTTCCACTGGAATTCACAGCCAGTGTTCGATAATAATAATAATAATAATATATTATTAGGACCAATTTTTTTTTAATTAACTGGCTGTTCAAGTTCATGCAATTTTTAGCTAGGTGTCTGAACAAGATCTTACTAATTTGGAATGCTTACAGAAAATGTATAATACAACTTATAATATGTTGCAAGTGAAGAAAGATAAAGTTTCAAATACATAGCAGATATGCATCATTTGCAGAAAACAAGCCACTTGATAAATAATTGCCAGGTGACAGAGAAAACAGACTTGTCACCATCAACTGGAAGATAGCATCACATGTCAGATAGACATGTGACCAATCAGCCATGTAACAATGTGTTTCGATTCTCTTTCTCATGAAACGCGCCGCTCACGCCTGCTGTTTAAGATCACTCAATAATTAGAATTATAAAGTTTTACAGATCTTTTTTTTTCAGACATCTTCTAGTTAATTTAATCTGCATGCCTTCTCATTTGAAACATAATGGGATCACTTGTTTAATTGTTTTTTCAGTCCCACTCAACACAGTATGTGTTTTATGTTATTAACCATGTGATATAATAGGTTTGGCCTGAGCATGCTAACGAAATCTGGCTAGGTGACTGTAATATGCAACACAATGTTAGTATTTTTTATGCAATATGTATAAATGATCATTCTTTAAAAGTCACATTTTATTCGTTTTTCTCCTTCTGTGGTCCCCCTTCAAAGGGTGGTTGGCATATCGTGTTCCTGTTTACAGCAAGGCTGCGATATCTACTCTTTATGATCGAACATTGCAAATACTTAAATGGTCACCTTTTAGGACATGTTTGTTGAGGGGTGGAATGTCTATTAACCCTCCCCTCACCTCACTTTTCCTCCCTCCCACAAGGTTTGCTACCTTAAGTTTTGATACTCTCAGACGATAAAATCTCAGCCTGGATGGCAGACCAAAGGGGCACATCCCAGATACCTGTTCAGCCTCCAAAGATGTTATAACTCATTCAGTAACAAGTAAAGATCCTATGTGTTTACTGGTATTTGCTTACATGGAATCACTAATGTAGAGCTTTGGGAGAGAACAACTTCCAGGGGACCAAGAGGGAAAGAAAAGATGCTGGTGCTGGATAGGGCACACTTTGAGAAAACCTGAGAGCAACATAACTAGAATGTCTTTGCAGTGGAACCCACAGGGGCATAGAAAAAAAGAAGACAGGAAAACACATGGAGAAGGGAGCTAGAGAGTGAAGATAAAAAGATTTGGGGGTCATGGGGAGAGCTGCATGTGATAGCAAAGTATACAATGACTTGGCGTGAGTTTGTTGAGAGCCTATGCTCCACTGGGGGTTAGCAAGGCAGAAAAAAAAAAGAAGCTTACACGGTATAGAAATTTTCATTTTTGTGTGTGACCCATCCATCATCATCATCAATCTCCACTTGTGGTTTAAGCGTCGTTGGGAAGAACAGTTCGCGATCCACTGCTAGATGGGCTGCAGTGGCTGTAGTCATTTCGTGTCGATACAGAAGCTCTTTAATGCCATTAATCCATCTTCTCCTAGAGTGACCTCATGATTTCAAATCAGATATCTTCAGGTGTAGTGTCTGCATTGGTAGTTGTTCTAGCTGCATCCTTACTAGATGATCAAACCATCTGATCTGTTTCTCAATGACTATGCTGAATGGTGTTATTCCAACAGTCTGTCTGATAATATCTATCATTTTTAACTTTGTATCAGATGGTTGAGTTAGCAGCTTTTCTCATCCACCTCATTTCACAGGTGTTAATTTTACGTAGGATAGCCTTTGATAATGTCCAAGTCTGGCACTGGTAGCACAGTGTTGGTATGAATATAGCGTTTATAGTCTGTTTCTTGGTGCTCATATTTATGTTTGGATATTTTAATAACGGTGTCAGTTGGTATATATATTTCCCCCATCGAGTGCTTTCATTAACCCTTTCTGACCCAACTGTTACTTTGATATCATCTATTTCAAAAGTTTATCAATATCAGCCCTACAAGTATTTGTGAAAGTAACAACTTGTTAGGTTAAAGTGTTGTTGTTGTCCATACATCACAAGTGATGAAGACCACTTTTTATCCAGTATTGATGAATGATTATGAGTACGAAGGTGGCTGATTAGTCCAATATGAGTCTAGAAAGTTCTTGAGCAGTGTGGACAACAGGTGGAAGGAGCAGTAAGTGTGGGATTAGCGAAACGGTTTTTGCTAGTCTGCCTCCACTTCTCTGCCCATGCAACCTCTGCTGCCTGGCAGGCTGATGCACCTGAGGGATGTACGCCATCCAGAACGGTCGTGTGCAGCAGTCTCCCATGACAGCAGTTTAGAGTGTCCTTACAGCGTTTTTTCTGTCCTTCCTGGGACCTCTTCCCTTGCTGGAGCTCACCATAAAAAACTCTCGTTGTGAGGTGATAGTCTGGCATGTGGACTAGATTACCAGCCCAACGCAGCTGATTAAAGTAGCATCGGTCAAGGAGATAATTAGAACACTCATAATGGCTAAACCAATCTGGTGAAACTCCTATGCATGTGAGGATGATAATGCGGGCACCTGCTACGAATTTGTCCATGAATAAGAGAGTTAATAAAATGTGTACATCTATAAATTAATTTATAAATATACTATCAATGCACAGTTGTAAATATTCACTTCTTTTAAAGCTTAATATCAGTCTACCTTTTTTATTTATATATTTTTTTAAATTTCACATTGAAATTAACTGACTTTACCATTTATTAGAAATGTTTATCACATGAAAATGTCAATAAGTTATTTTTCCCTTCATTCGCATGACAAAACTCTATT